AGGAGATTGAGGAAGTTCAAATGGTGCAGGGATGCGATGACCGAAAATTCAGAATCAGAAAAGATTTGGGGGAGCCGGTCAGGTCGAAGTTGATCAATTTAATAAGGGAATTTACGGACATCTTCGCGTATACAACGGACGAGCTGACAGGGATCGAGGCCAGGGTGATTGAGCACAGACTTAACATTGATCTTAGTGTCAAACCAGTGAAGCAAAAGAGAAGGCATCATGGTGCGGAGAAGGACAAAATCATCGAGCAGGAGGTCGACAAGCTGTTGAACGCTGGACACGTTAAAAAGATTCAGTTCCCCGAGTGGTTATCCAATACAGTCATGGTGTCCAAATCAGGAGGGAAGTGGAGAATGTGTATCGATTTCCATGATCTAAACAAGGCTTGCCCAAAAGATCTTTACCCGCTGCCAAGGATCGACCAGCTGGTGGACTCCACGGCAGGATGCGAGTTGCTTAGCCTGATGGACGCCTCTCAGGGATATCACCAGATCCCCTTAGCAAAGGAAGACTGGAAGAGGGTGAGTTTCATAACAAGCAAGGGCACTTATTGCTATGTAGTCATGCCATTCGGACTAAAGAATGACGGGGCCACCTACCAACGTCTCGTCGACCAAATTTTCAAAGACCAGTTGGGGAGGAATATGGAGGTGTATGTCGACGACATGCTGGTGAAAAGCAAGAAGGAGGACGACCACGCGGCTGACCTGAGGGAGACCTTCCAGACATTAAGGAGGTTTGGCATGAAGCTCAACCCGGCTAAGTGCTCGTTCGGGGTAAAGTCGGGAAAGTTCTTGGGGTACATGGTGACAAAGCGAGGGATAGAGGTGAATCCTGAAAAAGTAAAAGCAGTGATCGAAATGAAGCCACCGGCTAATGTGAAGGAGGTCCAAATACTAACTAGTCGGATAGCGGGCCTAAGCAGATTCATTTCCAAGGTGGCCGAAAAGAGCAGCCCTTTGTTCAAAACCCTGAAGAAGAGCTCGAAATTTCAGTGGACAGAGGAAGCCCAAAAAGCCTTCGAGTAGCTGCAGAGGACACTGGCTAACTTGCCCTTATTGGCCAAGCCAATTCACGGAGAGGAGCTCGTGCTCTACATATCGGTGGGCGAGAGTGCTGTAAGCTCAGTATTATTACGAGAAGAAGGAGTGGCACAATTCCCAATTTATTATGTCAGTCGGGTAATGCAAGGAGCAGAGTTGAGGTACTCGGAAATTGAGAAATGTGCGCTGGCGGTGGTCGTGACAGTTCGGAAGCTGAGGCCATACTTCCTGAACCACAAAGTCAAGGTGCGCACAAACATGCCGTTGGAGCAGACTTTAGGTCAACCAGCAGTGTCTGGTCGACTAGTAAAGTGGGCGGTCGAGCTGAGCGAGTACTCTATAAAATATGAACCAAGAAAGGCGATCAAAGGGCATGTGTTGGCCGATTTCATACAGGAAGGAACAAAGGAGGAGGAAGATGGCGGAGGAATGTGGCAGTTATTCGCAGATGGTTCGGTATCGAGGAGCGGGGCTGGCTTGGGAATAGTCTTGATTTCACCCAAAGGGGATTATTTAGTGTTCGTTGTCAAGATGGGGTTTCGAGTATCAAACAACGAGGCAGAATATGAAGCGGTGACAAAGGGATTACAATTGGCTCTGGCCGGAGGTGCTCGAAGAATCCAGGTCCATTCTGACTCGCAATTGGTGGTCGGTCAATTCCAAGAAGGTTTCGAGATCAAAGAAGATCGGCTGCAACGTCATGTGGATAACATAAAAAAGTTGAAGGAAGAATTTGGGACGTTCGAATTAATACAGATACCCCGAGGAGAGAATGTTCGGGCGGATTTACTGTCTAAAATCGCACAAAGCTTGGACGATTGTAAGAGTAGGAGTGTGACTCTACTTCACATGGAGAGGAGCGCGACGGAAGTCGAGGTGGCGGAGATCGAGGAGGTAGAAGACTGGAGGGCCCCAATCCTGAAGGAGTTACGGGAAGGGACCACAAAGGTAGTGAGGAGGTTCTTCGAGCAAGGTGGGGTTCTCTACAAACGATCATATGCAGGTCCGCATTTGAGATGTGTATCCAAAGAGGAGGGTCGGTACGTTTTACGAGAAGTGCACGAGGGATGTTGTGGCGATCATAGCAAAGCCGGGGCCATGACTGCAAGATCTTAAGAGCAGGCTACTTCTGGCCGACAATGAAAGCGGATGCTAAGGAAATGGCCAGGAGGTGTATGAAGTGCCAGAAGCACGACCCGCTTATACACCAACCAGCGGAGACAATGACTACAATGAGCGCACCTATTCCGTTTGCACAGTGGGGCATCGACCTAGTAGGACCAATGCCACAAGCAACAGGGCAACGAAAATTTTTGATCGTGGCGGTCGACTACTTCACGAAATGGGTGGAAGCTGAACCGTTGGCCAAAATTACAGAAGAAAAAGTGGTCCAGTTCCTGTATAATAACATTTGCTGCCGGTTTGGTGTCCCTAAAATCCTGATATCTGATAATGGAACGCAATTCAATGGTAAGCGGATAAGAGTGTGGTGCGAGGAAATGGGTATCGAGCAGCACTTCGCTTCTGTCGCACATCCACAGGCCAACGGACAGGTAGAGGTGACCAACAGGATCATCCTAAACGGACTTAAAACAAGGCTGGAAAAAGCTTCAGGAGCATGGGTCGACGAGCTGACATCTGTGCTCTGGGCGTATAGGACCACTCCAAGGTCGACCACTGGCGAAACGCCATTTAGCCTGGTATATGGGATGGAAGCGCTTCTACCAGTGGAATTAGAACTGCAGTCTCAGCAATCGAGCACTTATGATCAAGAGCAAAATGAAGAACTCATGCTGACCGCCCTAGACACTATCGAAGAACTCAGAGAACAAGCCTCGACCAGGGTTGAGGCATACAAGCAAAGGATGAGGGCGGCACATGACCGGAAAGTGAAGATCCGCCGATTTCAAGTAGGAGACCTGGTGTGGAAAAGAGTAGATGTGCTCAAGCATGTGGGAAAGTTAGAACCCAATTGGGAAGGGCCGTACTTGGTCAAAAAAGTACATGCAGGAGGAGCATACTCTCTGAAGGACGTTGAAGGCAGGTCGCTGGCTAGGTCGTGGAATGTAGCTAATCTTAAAAAATACTATGTGTAAACTCTTTTATGTATTCGAGAAGTTCAATCATTGTAAGCCTCTTATGGGGAGTTATCAAAATGATCGATTTCTATAAGAAGATGTCTCTACCAGCGTCATTAACACGTTGCGAATCTGATTTCATACAAGCT